AGCGCCCCTCCCCTGCTTGAGCGCCCCTCCCCTGCTTGAGCGCCGTCGCTCTCTTGCTCTCAAAAATAAACAAACAAAAAAATTCAATTATATCTCAATAAAGTTGGAAAAAAGATATAATACTCTAGCAAAAAAATGTTAACTGAATGAGCGAATGAGAGCTGATGGTCAGGAGCAGAGGTTGGAGGTAGAAGACAGGGACTTGCACAGAGGTTAGTCCTGCCCAGTTCAGCTTCAGGGGTAGCCTTGGTGGGAGGAAGGAAATGGCCCTTCGGCTTATGCTGGACGTGGAGCCAGGCCCCAAACAGGTTGAAGCAAAGTCCCAGGAAGATAGGCTCCACTTCCCTGTCCTGAAGACTGGGCCAGATCCCAGAGCCAACCTCATGAGCCTGTACCCCAGGGGACACTCAGGGACACCTGTAGTCTTGGTGTAGTGTGGCCCTCCCGTTCAGAGATGGCCCACCGGCAGGGGAAAAACCCTAAGGCCCATCTACCCTGGACTGAAAGTCCTTGAATACGGTTATTAACACAATTTCCTAAAGAGAAAAAATTCGATGTAAGGGTCCATTAACTTGTCCAAGGCCCTTAAGTAGAAGCCACGGAGCTGGGATAGGAATTCCATTTGCAGTCTCTTCGTCTCTACATTATATTGCCTCCCTAACTTAATGGCAGCAAGTTTCCTTTTCCATAAGGCCTCCCACCAATGGTTCCTAGCTCACTGTGCCTGGGGAAGTTAAACGGTGCCATGTACGTGAGAGCCTGGCACACGTCAAGCATGCAGGAAAGAACGGGTGTTGGGCAAGTGTGGGGTCTCCCTCCCCGGTTTCAGATTCCCCCTTTGGGCACTCAGCTCTCCTCCAGTGAGGACTTGCCTCTTAAAGGGCTTTCAGTGGTATCCACGGAGTCCTAGAAAAAAACCAATCAGACCTATGGGGAAAACTAGTGGAAAAGTTACTGCACTCTCTGGGCCTTTTCTGTCATTGGAAAGGATGTTGCTCTTGATGTTAACCCCCTAGAGCTAGGAGAGCTACGAACAGGAGGAACCATGGAGGCAACCCAGCACCTACCCAGTGACAGGCACACAGGTGCCTGGAGCATCCCTCCGCCCCAGTGACCGTGGCAGGAAGGGGGAGGGGAGAAATTCTATCCTCATTTCATTAAAATAAGGGAATTAGGAGGATTGCTTTACACAGCAACTAAAGGTGAAAGATTGTTGAAAGAACTTGGGATGGTTAGTCCAGAGAACACAGCGTTTATAGAAACCCAGCTAACTGGGTGCTGGCACCTATTTAAAGCCGGGGCTTCCCGGGGACCAGGAGAGGCGCAAGCCACGCCCATGTGATAAGGTTTCCGGTAGATTAAGGAAACACAATGGTTGAGGTTTCTGGTACTTTAGTGGGAAAAGTATTTCTTTTCTTTTTCTTTCTTTTTTTTTTTTTTTAAGTTCTATGGGGTTTTTTTT